GCACACACACACACACACACACACACACACACACACACTTACATTCGCTCACACACAATCTAGAAAACACATGCACCAACCTGATAATATGCAATAATACGGACCTGACAATGCGACTTTACAGACATCGACTTGCGTCTATGGTGTAGAGAGGCCAGTCTCTTTACAGTTGCCCACAGAAGACGTGAGTTTGATATTCACGATTCTCACGATACTCACGTGAGGAAATCTAACATGGGGCCCATTTGACCGAGTATCTCCGTCTGCCTGCGCGGATATATCATATCCCACTCGGAGACCTGATTTGTTCCGCCTAAGAACCTTACATTTCATCACAATAATAATTGGTCGCTCCTAAGGACAAGCGGGCCAGCCCAGATTTCGGGGGTTTCCAAAGGCTACCTAAAGTTGGCATTGCCCCACCTGTAGGAGAAATTTGGTTTCATTGGTGTGTATATTTGTTTGGTTATAGAGAAAAGTCTCTTTGAATTGAGAGGAGTTCCGTCATTATCAAACGTAGAATGTTTTTTTAAAAGTAAACACATGTGTATACACACGCGTACACATGCGAATACACAAACTGAACACTTTTTGTACACTTGCATCTGCCGAACATACCCTTTTGGGTATCGCGGGAAGAAAGAGACGTCTCTCTGTTGCCAGCCGGAGAGCTTGGGTCAGGGGGATGCCGTGGGTGGATAAAATTTCCCTGACTCCATCTATCCAGGTCTATGTCGGTCTCCCTCTAGCCTTGTTGCCTTCGAATTTTTTAAAATGTAGGCACTTTGTGCTGGATGGTGTGTTGGTAAACTGAACAAGGGGCAAAATCCTTACCTTCAATTTTCTCAAAACAGCATTTTTCGGGATAGCCCCCATGTGCTTAAAAGTGACCAATTTTAATAACCTGCTTGGTTCAGCTCCGTTAGGCAGGGTCGGACAACCGCCAGCCCACCTCCTATTTTATCTCAAATATGTCAGCCAGAGGAGGCATTTCATTAACGCCACATTTACTATTACATTTCTTTCTTTCTATAAATTTTTTTTAAATTCGAGGATTGGGGAAAATGTGTGTGTGTGTGTGTGTGT